AAGTTTAACTCAGACTTCAACCCCATTAAGCGTCCAATGGCATCCAGTTGAGACACCATTGACCGATCGTGAAGGGGTTTCTGTGCCGAATCCATCATGTCATAGAACGCCTGTGCGGCTACCTCCATCTCCTCCTTCTCACATCCCTCGTCGAACTGTCCTTGGTGAAAGTCATCTAACATGTCTGCTACCCCGGCATCAGCATCAAAAGCCTCCACCCGTGGTCTCACCACCTCCTCTCTCATACGATGGGCTTCACCATGGTGGACCCACCGGGTGTAGTCTAGCGTAAATCCATTCTTCACAAGATGTTTACCCATTTCCACCTTGTTTACCCTTCTCCTATTTTCACATTTGCTACAGGGACACAAAACTAGGCAATGTCCTTTAGCAGCCTTGCCAAATGCACTGTTCAAGAAAGCATCAGTCTTGTTCATCCATTCCATGGTGTAATCACTCTGACTTCTCCCGCCCGTGTACATCCACTGATGGTCATCCATCCTCTAACATATGTATCAGCGAGTAATGTAACCATCAATTGCATCTACATGGTGTTCCTACTGTCTAATAGGTGAGGATAGGTCCTAATCCCACCCACGGATGCATAGATGAGGTTAGTTTCCATGCTCTACTCCTATCAGAGACAGAATTTCGGTAGCACCTCCCCACTGTTCTCCAGATACACGTCCTGCTAAAGAAGAGTGCGTATCCGGAGAACAACAGGGAGGTGATGCCAAAACTCTGTCTCGGACCGGAGCAGACGATGGAAACTAACCCATCTACGCATCCACGGGCTGTCCAAAAAACGTGGACAATCCAAAACAGATACGGTCATAGATATGCAAAGATCTGCATACCTCCAACCGTATCTCTTTCGAACGGGAGACGCCTAACTGGGTTACACGATCTACGACCATGATACGGAAAGAGGGGTTATACCTAGGGTGGCGGCAGAGTTAGGCTAGCGGGGCTGTGGTGGGTCGGTGTAGTGGCGAGGCGACGTGGTGCATGCAGACCGGCACGGCGACGGGAACTCTGACTCGGCTTCGACGGGATCTTCTCTACAAAATTGGAACAAAATACTGTCATTTAAAAAAAATCGGAAGAACCTCCCCTGCACGGTGAGGTTTCCAAAACCGGCAAAAAACAACGACACGATGGCTGACAAGCACATATGTCTCAAGAGAAGCCATGTAGTTTGGATATCAATCCATGCAAAAGAATATATCCAAGTAGTACCACTACTTCTACTACTACTTCCACTATTGCTACTACTACTACCACTAGTTCTACTACTACTACTACCACTATTGCTACTACTACTACCACTAGTTCTACTACTACTACTACCACTACTTCTACTACTACTACCACTAGTTCTACTACTACTACTACCACTAGTTCTACTACTACTACCACTACTTCTAATACTACTACTACCACTAGCACTACTACTACAACTATCACTACCACGACAACAACAAGAGAGAGAGGGCATACCTGACGGGCACCGGGGGTAGGGGCGGGCGGCGTCGGGGTCGGGGTCGTCGGAGTCGGGAACGGGGTCGGGCACGGGCGGTGGCGGGAAGGGCGGTCCACGAGGCACGGCCGGGGGTAGGGCTGGCTCCTACTCCTACTCCTCCTTCTCCTCCTCCTCCTCCACCTCTCCTCCCGCTCCTCCTCCTCCTCCCCTCCTCCACCCGCCGGTGTTGGTGGGCCGGCGTGGGTGAGCTGGCCATGCTCGGCCACACGCGGGCACGGGGGTGGGGGCGGTGTGGGAAGAAGGCGTGGCCTGGCGTGGCGGGCGGGCGTGGTGCCAGCGTGGGGGGGGCTGGCGTGGCGCCTGCAGAGAGGAGGGGGAGCGCGTGGCGAGGCGGGCCGGTGTTGGCGGCGACGCGCCAGGAGGGCCCAGGCCGGGAGCGGCCTGTGTGGGGCTCTCTGTGTGTGGCTTGGACTGCCTGGGCAAACTCGCTTAAGTGCCCCCACCCGCCCCTTTGCCGAGCGCCGGATCAGGGAGGCAGTCGGCAAAGGAGGCAACTTTGCCGAGTGCCCCGATCCGGCCATCGGCATAGAGTTTTTTTTTGAAATACCTTTGCCGAGTGCCCCTGTGAAGGCACTCGGCAAAGAGGAAATTTCTAAAAAAATTCAAAAAACCTCCTTTGTTGAGTGTCATGCCCCGACACTCGGCAAAGCTTTTTTTTTGTTTTTGGCCTCCAAATTTTTTGTGCAGCCCTTTTAAAGTACCGGGAACTTCTCGTTAGAATTTGGAGTTTTTTTGTGGCTTTTTGATATATTTAGTTACTTTATTTCGTTTACTTGAATTTTTTCGAAAAATATAAATTTGAACTACACGTGGTACGAATAATGGAATTTAATGATTCAAAAATTATAGTCATGTTACTGAGTGTAGTGTGAGGCCGTATCCAGGAACGGACCTGAAATTTCGGACATCTTGTTCATGAAACATGACTACGAACTTGCGTGTGAAGTGTTTTTAAATTCTATAAAAAGCAAACGAAGTCCGAAAATCATGAAACTTGTTGAGATGTCGTGATATCGTATGTGGAGGCTATGATAAAAATTTCAAAAGATTTCGTGCACGTTGTCACGTACGATGCTTACAAACCAGGACATCTCTACATGTCATCACGTACGATGGTTGATATTTTAATTTTCCTTTCTTGGATTCATTTTCACCATTGGTCATGCATCTCCAATGCCCGTCGTCGTTAACTTGTAGCCAAGAAAAACTAATTTATTTGTCTAAAAGATTATTGTGGGAACTAAAGCACTACGGGAAACAGTAGCTTTGCCACTCGGCAAAGCCCAAAAAACACTCGGCAAAGGGTTTGTTGAGTGTAACACTCGACAAACGACACTCGCTGAACCTTTTAACGGCAAACTGAGTTTGCCGAGTGTTTTTTGTCGGACACTCAGCAAAGACTTTGCCTAGTGCCCAAAAAATACTTGGCAAACATTTTTTTCGAAAAATAAAAAAAAACCACAACAAACATTTTTTCGAAAAATAAAAAAAGCCACCACCGGTCGGTCTCCGTCTCGCCTCCGCTCCCCGGCTTCATGGCCACCACCACGAGCCATCATCGGCCACCACCACCATGCCACCACCGCCCACCACCACCACGCCACCACCGGCCACGCCCGAGCTTCCTCCAGCCGTCGGATCCGGGGAGGGGGCGCCAGATCCGGGGAAGAGAGGGAGAGGAGGGGGCGGCCGCCGCCGAAGAAGAGAGGGAGAGGAGGGGTGGCCGCCGGATCTGGGGAAGAGAGGGAGAGGAGGGGGCTACCATGGGATCCGGGGAAGAGAGGGAGAGGAGGGGGTGGCCGCGGGATCCGGGACCACTGGGGAAGAGAGGGAGAGGAGGGGGAGGGGCGTCGGCGGTGGGAAGAGAGGGAGAGGAGGGGAGGGGGGCCGGGCGCCGGGGAACAAAAGGGAGGGGCGCTAGAGGCCGGGTGCGTGCGGAGGAAGTAGGGTGGGGCGTTGGGTGTTAAAGAAGATATTTTTGTTTGCCGAGTGTCCTAGATCGGGCACTCGGCAAAGTTTTTTTTCATTTTTTTCTTGTCATTCTTTTCCAGAAAAAAGATTTTATTTCTTTGCCGAGTGTTATAGATCTGAGCACTCGGCAAAGTTTTTTTTTCATTTTTTTTCTTCTCCTTCTTTTCTAGAATTTTTTTTATTTCTTTGCCGAGTGTTTTTTTTGACACTCGCCAAACCTCATCTTTGCCAAGTGTTTTGTTTGACACTCGGCAAACCCCCTATTTGCCGAGTGTTTTTTTTGCCGAGTGTTTTATCGCAACACTCAGCAAAGAACTTGTTCGCCAAGTGCCCGAGCGAATACACTCGGCAAACATAAAAACACTCGGCAAATTTGAGGATTCTGGTAGTGAAGCCATATTTAGCCCTGCATGCCCCTCTGTTAAGAGTGTCTTTGTCAGCCCATCCTTATATATCGATCGTGAAAATACAAAAAGCATAGTAATAAATGGTTTAGACAATATAGATGAGCCCGATCCCCAACCTCTGTAGAGACATCATCAAAAATGATGGGAAGAGGTAAATTTCTATGTGGTCACGATGAGACAGTCATTATTTGTTCCAACAACACATTTACTGAAATGCAAGTAGTTCTAATTAATAATATAGTTTCAGTCTTTTGTTAATTCTGCAATCTGTTTCTCATAATTTCCAGCATTAATGTGTAGTTTATTGGATCCTTATGAACATAAACTGTTGTGATAGATTCTCTCCACATAATCTATTACCACTTAATGTTAATTATCTGGCTATAATTCTATTGTTTGAAGAAAAATAGGCTATTATTCCATTCCAATTTCTTCCCGAAACTTCCCAAAATAATCCGGAATTGGACACAAAATTGACGGGTCAATGTGAGTTTATCCATGCGGTTAGGCACTCTTCAAATAGGAATCCATTTTCTAGCGGGCTTTCGTGCTTTAGTGAGTCATCCGAGATCCTTTCGATGACGTATGTTGTGTTGAAGGGATATCTATATGATCCGATCGATTGCATAAGACCTGCGGTAATAATGAAGTCGATGCAAATATAAAATGAACAAATTGATTCTTTGTTTGGTCCTCTGTCATCTCCTAGCACTAGAATAAGTAAATGTAATAAAGAATAAATTTCTTATCTTTAATGTGTAACTCATCTTATTTGAGTGTACCTAGTTGGTAGAATAAGTAAATTTTAAAAAAAATACATATCGTTAATGTGTAACTCATGTTTTGAGAGTGCCTAGTTGTTCATTATTCTTTGGTCCCTCCTTTGAACAGCTGTGCATGTACATATTCGGGCATCTATCATCCTTGATGTCTACATAGAATTACAGGAGACAGGTCCTGCATAATTTTGATGTTCATATGTCACATGTTCTTGTTCAAAAGATTCAATATCATTATTGGGTCACTATAACATGACATAGAGATGATGTTGCATAACAAAAATATATTATGATTTTCAGGCAGCGGCAATCAACATATTCCAAGATCTTTTGTGGAGATTTGAAAATCTAAGTATTTTGAGACTTGATACAAACTTTTATGTTCCACCACATCATCTATTCAGTCTTTCTCGATTCCTTCAAACTGTTGAAATTAAGGTAATTTATTCGATGATATCTTATTGTTGTCACTATATATGATATTTATGTTAATTTCATCCATTGAACACATTCTAAATATACTTACATGATTTTCTAGAGATGGTACAGATCAAGTCCACAAAGTAACGGAATACACATTCTCACTGGATATGATTGAAGAAGGGAAGTCTTCTTCAGAGGCATCAGGAGCTGAAAGAATCTGAAAGGATTGCAAGCAACACAGGAATGCTTTAAGCATACGGAGCTTCTGTGCACTTCTATGCTGTTATCAATTAGAAAATATATAAATGCCGTGTCGTACTTCTGTCCAAGATACTAGTACTTTGAGATAAGTTATGGGATTTATGTAACGTATAACAGTTTCATTTATGTGGAAACCATAGTTTGCTTGGTTGGCTCGTTGCCAGCATTCTGGGACATCAATAATTCAGTTAATAATGGCTTCAAAATTCTAGTGTTTCATGTTATGCTGGCAAAATTATACATTTTTTTTGAAACATTTTGTTGTATTCCTTTATATATGTGATATATATCGAGTAAGGGCTTTGTTCCTCCGATTTATTAAAAAATAAATTATAGAATCCTCATAGGTTTTGGGATAATGCACAAAAATACTAGATTTTTGTAAATCTAACAAAATAAGTATTCCTGCGAGGCAAATAATATGGTGACTTCTTTGATAAATTGGAGGCATTTAGATTGTTTAATATTCTAACTTGTGGCTAATAAATATTCCACTATTAGAGTATCTCTAATAGTACTACATAAAAGAGACCCCTACTTGCCTGATTAGATACACTACTACAGAAACAAACATCATTGCCAGCCTCATCACTACCGGATTTGGCTGAACCGGCAGTGATGTACCTTCACTGCCGATTCTGAGCATGGAAATCAGAAAATGATTGGGGGTGGGCCAAACCGACAGTGAAGGTCCACATCACTGCCGGTTTGTGGCTTGCTCCGGTAGTGAGTTAACGGCCACTTATCACTGCCGGTTGTAGCCATGAACTAACAGTGATTTTGGGCTAACACGTCAGTTCGAAGAACTGACGGTGATAAAATGACAGTACAAAAAACTAGCGCAGTCCTCTCCTCCCTCCTCTCTTCCATCCCGAGCACAGAGGCGCTCGTTTGGGCTGCTCCCTCCATTGTTGCGGCTACTCTTCTCTATGAAGTTAGCTCTTGGATTTGGAAGAATGGCTTGATCTTCTTGCTTTAAGGTTAGTAACAAGCATCTACTCCTTTGATTTTGTTGCTTAATTAGCGTTGTTTTGATGGCTACATTGCTTGATTCTTATTCTAGTATTTTCTCCATTCTAGAGAGCACTTTTCCAATTGGACTTTGTGCAAGGCTTCCAAGCAAATTGTGGTGAATCCATCATCCAAAAGGTTGATGTCTTTGAACACATTTAAATTCCTAGCTAATTACATGGTGATCAAGATTATTGTTAGGATGTAATGCTATAATTAGTTCTTGATAGAAGTAGAGTAGATTCTTTTACAATTTTGGTGAGCAAATTAATCCATGTGCCACGTCCCAACACATTGTTTGGAGTTACATTGTTGTTCATGATCATGTCTCCAATTTTAGTGTTTTTTAATTAGTGTCTCCATTTTTATGTGGCATGGAGTAGGATAATTGTTGTTCATTATTGTGAAATAATTGTTTTTAATGGTGCTATGATTTTTAATTTATATGGCCGAGGCTACTAATTTCAATTTTCCAATAATTAGTGTACAATAATATTTTCCAAAAATGGGGTGACTAAATTAAATAAGTGTAGAATAAATTGTTGTTTTAAGCAACAATTGTTGTTCATGAAGCGCCACTTGTTATTAATTTCTCTCTAATTACTATCTCAATATTTTGTTGTGCAGAGATGGATCGAGAGTGGATGTATGGGTCCCAAATGAATAAGCGGTACATGGTTGGCGTCGACAAGTTTCTCGCCGATGCCAAAGCCCATGCTGAGAATGGGAACCCTGTCTTCTGCCCATGCAAAGATTGCATGAATCAAAGGAAATGGGCTCAAATTGAGTCTATACAATCGCACTTGATTACAAGGGGTTTCATGCCAAACTATATGATATGGACTATGCATGGCGAGGTTGATGTGAATGTTCCGTAGGAAAACGATGATGATGTGGCCATGCCTGACGTAGCTCTCCACAATGCTGATGAAGAACCCGGTATCAACACGGAACCTATGGCTACTGTTAATGATGTGTTTAGGAACATGCTAGCTGACGACACTGAGCATGACGATGGCATTTCTCAGCTGCTACATAATGTAGAGAGCGGATGTCTTAGTGAAAGATAGCTGAGAAAGCTAGAGAAAATGAGAAAGATGGCAAAACACCATTGTATAAGAATTGTCCAATGAGCAAACTGGAAGCCAACATCATGTTGTTAGAGTTCAAATTGACAAATGGATTGAACGATAAAGGCTTCGATCAGTTGTTAGGTATAATAAGAAAAATGCTCTCAGAAAAAAATGAGTTGCCAAAAAAGACATACCTGGCCAAGCAAATGATCTGCCCCATCGGCCTCGAGGTTGAAAAATCCACGCGTGTTCCAATGATTGCATATTGTACCGTGGAGACAAATACAAAGACTTGGATGCGTGCCCCAAGTGTGAAGCTCCATGGTACAAGGAAGGGCCATCAGATGAGGGTACCAAGACCAGAGGAGGTCTCGTAAAGGTCGTTTGGTATTTCCCTCTAGCTCCCCGGGTGCATAGGCTGTTTGCATGTGCAAAGTCAGCCAAGCTGTTGTGCTGGCATGGCGAAGAGCTTAAGAAAGATACAATGATGAGGCACCCCGCCGATGTGAAGGACTAGAGGACTATCAATACTACGTTCTATAAGAACATCAGTGGGGAGGTAAGGCACCTTTGGATTGCTTTGAACACAGATGGGATGAATCCTTTCGACTAGGTTAGAAGCAATCATAGCACCTGGCCAGTGACGCTCTATATATACAACCTTCCACCTTGGCTCGGTATGAAGCATTCATACAATCAGATGCCACTACTGATCCAAGGGCCAAGACAACCTATGAATGACATCGATGTGTTTCTAAAACCAGTGATCGATGAACTAGTTGAGATGTTTGAAAAGGGTGTGAAGAATGTTTGGGATGAGTACAAAAAGAAACATGTCACGATCAAGGCAATACTTATCACTACAATCATCGACCTGCTAGGGCGAGGTTGCTTGCCAGAGAGAAGACAAAAGGCTATACTGGATGTGTCGAGTGCTTGGACGACACCGATGCGGTACATCTGCTAAAGAACTCAAAGATAGTTTATATGGGACACCGTAAGTTCCTACCTAAGGATCACCCTTACCACAGGAATAGAAAATATTTTGATGGGACTATTAAGAAATGTTTACCTCCAAAATATCGAGATGGGCCTGTGATACTTCGAGAAGTCAACAAACTGGATGATGTCCTTAGGAAGGGGGACAATGCAGTAGCAACGCCTGATGGGAGCGTCTAGAAGAAAAAATTAGTTTTCTAGAAACTACCTTACTAGATAGTGCTGAGTGTACGCCACTGTCTTAATCCCATGCACGTTACTAAAAACGTGTCGGTAACACGCTTAACACCTTGATGGACACCGGGGGGACATCGAAGGATTCACTAGCCACACGCCTGGACATGCAACACTTGGGAATTAGGAAGGAGTTGCATCATGTGGCACTAGAGGATGGCCAGTTTGAACTTCCAATTGTGTGATGGACCTTGAAGAAGAAAGAAAAGCGTGTGCTTATTTCTTTCTTCAATGAACTCAATGTCCCAACGGGCTACTATGCGAACTCGAAGAGGCTAGTGAACATGAGAGAAATCAAGTTGAACTATGGCTGTATGAAGGCCCATTACTATCATGTCATTATGACTCAACTGCTCCCTATTGCCCTATGTGGTATCCTAACCCAAAAGGTCAGTGCCCCAATCATAAAGTTGTGCTCGTTCTTCAACGTGATCTCAAAAAAGGTTATTGATGTGTCCATGCTGGACTAGCTGTAGCAAGATATAGCCGAAACTCTCTGCAGGCTTGAGATGCATTTCCTGCTGACTTACTTTGATATCTCAGTGCATCTGCTCATGCATCTTCTTGACCAAATTAGAGCTCTTGGCCCAATGTACCTGCATCAGATGTTCCCTTTCGAAAGGTTGATGAAAGTTTTTAGGAGGTATGTTAGGAATAGATTCAGACCGGAAGGGGGCATGGTAGTAGAAGGATGGTCAACGGAGGAGGCCATTGAGTTCTGCACATATTATCTGGACATCAATAGGGTTGGAGTTCTAGAATCTTGTGACAAGGGAAGACTAGGTGGCAAAGGAACGATCTGGAAGAAATCTATCATAGTAGATGACCCCATTTCTTCTAGATAGGCATAGTTCACTGTTCTCTAGCAAGCAGAGGATGTGATGCCATACATTGACAAGCATAGGCAATCACTGCAAACTTTGTATCCAAGCATGTCACAGGCTTGGCTACATAAAAAACATAAGGAGGAATTAGGCAACTGGTTGTGATGTCGCTTGATTGGAACAACGTTGGGTAATCAGCTCGATATCTTAGCCAAGGGACCTTTGAGTACATTACTTAAGTACCAAGGGTATGAGATCAATGGATTTACATTTTACACAAAAAAAGAAAGATGGAAAGAGCACATACCAAAATAGTGGTGTTTGTTTCGATGCTCACGATGAAAATGGCAACATGCAGGCGATGTACTATGGTTTCATAGAGGAGATATGGGAGCTAGACTATGGTCAGTTGAAGGCAACTCTTTTTCGCTGCCAGTGGGTCCAGCTCGAGGAAATAATCACCAACAGAGAAGGGTTCACTACCGCTGATCTCACCAAGACCACGTATAGAGACGACCCCTTTATCCTTGCAAAAGATGTTATGCAAAATCTTCTATGCAGGGGACAACAAGACAAAAGAAAAGCTAAAAGTAGTCCTAGAAGGAAAAAGGAA